GGACTTGTCAGGCTGGGCTGCCTGAGGCCACAGCAGTAAAGGTGGGTCTGGGCCCCTGGGGTGCACTTGGAGCCCTGCAGGGATGAAGCTGCCCACACAAGGAGTGGCTGAAGGGACTCAGTGGCCCAGGGCTGGTGGGGTGGGCGAGGAGGTGAATCCTGGGTGTGCAAGATGGGAGGGGCTCACAAGGAGCCAGAGGTTCAGAGCACAGAGCTGGACTCCTGGGAGACTTGTCGTCCTCCTCCATGCTGGCAGTGGCATTTTGGCTCCTGTGGGAGGGAGGCCCTGCACCGTGGCAGTGAAGAGCTCGGATGGACTCCCATCTGCTGAGTTGAGCCCAGGGACCTCCTGGGGAAAGGCTCTCCGCAGGCTGGGAGAGAGAAAGCATTTACAGAAAAGGGGTACTGGCCCAGTCCTTTATGCCTCAGTTTCCTGATCTGAAAAGGGAGGGTGGGATAGCACTTACCTTGCAGGATTGGTGTGGAAGGTTTGGGACAGTGCACTGCAAGCAAGTACCACTTCATTATGGATTAATACAGAAGCACTTGGGCACCGCCCGGCACATACTAAGTTCCATACAATTACTAGCTGCCACAGTCACCACGATCACCATTGTCCCCACCCTCATTCTCCCTGGGAAGCTGTGTCCAGGCAGCATGGCTGGTGCTCATGCGTGTGGGTGTGAGCGTAGACTGCCTGGGTTGTCTTCCCTTGCCAGCTGTCCAGCCTCAGCAGGTCCCTGAGCCCCCCTGATACTCCTCACTGATGTAGAGACCAAGACAGAGCCTCTTGAGAAGTGGGGCTTCCTCAGAGACAAAATGATGGCAGGGTCCTCTTCCTGTCCCCAAGAGAGAGACTGCAGGTCAGCTCAAGGGGTGGACTGGAGCAGAGATCCCAGTACAGGAGGCCGTGGGCTCAGGAGGGAGGCAAGCCCAAGGCTGAACGGCACTGCTCCTGGGGGACCCATGGGCACTGGTGAGCCCTCGGTGGCCCCCGGCCATGTGGGCTCCAGCCCCAGGTCAGCCTGGGCCTGGCCCCACAGCCTCTCCTTCCCCACCAGCCTCCTCTGAGTCTCACAGAGCAGCGGCCTGCTTCCCTGAGGAGCCCTTTCCCGCTTCTGCTGCCAGCTCCTTGCTGTCCCCCACTCCCCACTTGGGGAGTGCCTCAGTTCTTCCTCAGGGCTGTCTCCCTCACCTTTCCCCAGCATCTCCCCGCCCCACAGCTCACACAGCCTTCTGCCACATGCCACAGGGCGTCCTCTGGCCTCGCCTCCTGCGTGATGGCATTGCATACAGGTGTGTGCCTGCCTCTATACTAGCTTTCAAATTGGGGTAACATGCACACACAAAATTCATCATTCTAAACTGTGCAGTTAATTCAGGGGCATTTAGGATACTTGCAATGTTGTGCAACCACCACTGCTAATTAGTTCCAGAACTTTCCATCACCCCAAAAGGAAATTCCTTTCCTGTAGCCGCTCCACTCCTGCCCTCCACCCACAGCTAAGTCTGGTGTTTCACGACCGTGGAGCCCTGAGGAGCTGGCCTTTCCTCACTGGCTTCTTGTCCTTGGTGTGGCACCGCAGTGGCGCTGACTCATCTTGGGGTTCATTACCATCTGCCACCCCCAGGGAGCGCGCGGGGGTGGGGTTCCACCTGCCCTGCTCCCTGAAGGGTCTCCCCACATACAGGAGGTGCTCAGTGAACACAGATGGGTGGGTTCTCACCTGCAGATCTGGTTGTGCAGGAACCTGCGGTGATTGGGCCTCCTCTTGGGGGCCCGAGGGCGCCGGGGCTGCAGGGCCCGCAGCATATGCGCGGCCGCCCCGCTCACGAAGGCGCACAGCTCGAGGGGGCCGGGCTCTGAGACCCGAGGGCCGGCGGGGGCTCCAGGGTGCATGGCTGGGGCTCCGGAGTCTTCCCGACACTGCTGGCCAGAGGCGCCCCAGCTCCTGGGGACAGGCACTGCAGATGGGGCCCTGGTTGCCAGGTGAGGCTGATATAGGCGGAGGGGATGGGGTGGGGGTGGGGGCTCGCGTGCGCCCCAGGTTTCAATTAGCGCATAGCTGGAGCCGGGATATGGGCCTGGCGCGGGTGGCGGCGCAGCAGCGCCCAGAGGCGGCCAATTAAGGGACAAAGGCCGGGCAGCCGCTGTCAACCGCAGCGATTATGTCGAGGACCCTTAATTGGCGTCGTCGGAAGGACAGGTGCTGGCCCGCAGCGAGGCTGAGAAGGGAGGGGGCGCACAGGCGCTCTGCCTTCCCGATCCCGCGGCGGCTCCAGGCCCACACCAGTAGGGGAAACTGAGGCCCAAGGCGACCATCAAATCCTGAGGTTCAGGCAGTGGAAAACCAGTGCGCGGTAGGTGGAGGGGACGTGGGGGTTCCGCTCTCCACGGTGCCGCACTGCGGGCCCCTCACCTGGGGTGCTTGTGGGAAACAAGAGATTTTTTGGGAGGGATACTGAGGATGGAACCCAGGGCCTTTGCACTGATCTGCATCCCCTTTTTAAATTTTGAGACGGGGGTCTTTCTTAAGTCACTAAGTTGCCCGGGCTAGACTCAAACTTGCAATCCTGCCCCAGCCTCCCAGAGTGCGGCGGTGACAGCCTTCTCTGTCGATTGTTGCCCGCGCGTGCTGTTCTGCGCTCGCTCGCACCGCTGCGTCTCAGGCCCACGTCCCGAGCGAGGCCAAGGGCAGGGGCCGGGACCCCAGGTCGCAGGGTGAGACCGGAGCCGCTCCACCAGGGGGCGCGCGGTTCGCGGAGCTGCCGTGAGCGCGAGGGGATCTGCACTTCCGGCGCTGGCTGGCGCTGTGCAGCCTCCCCCGCCGGGGACATGGGGCTGGATGGGGTCGCTGAACAAACACGGACTGAACATCTGTGTGGTCTTTTGTTCCCTTCAAGACACGACCTGGGGACGGGGGAAGACACTATCTTGAGCTATGTAGTCCAGGCTAGCCTCCAACTCACGCGATCCTCCTGCCTCAGCCTCAGCCTTGCAAGGGCTGGAGTTACAGGTGTGCACCGTCACGCGCGGTTTGAATAGCTACTGTGTCCAGGGTAGAGGGTGCAGAGGTGACCGGAAACAAGCAGGAGAGGAAGCTCCCGCCGGCACAAGGAGATGACTGTCCTGTGGCCTGCAGGCTAGGCACCCACTGGGACGTGGGCATGGTGGTGCACCCCTGTCATCCCAGCACTCCAGGAGGCTGAGGCTGGAGGATTGTAAATTCAGTCCCACACTGGGCAATTTAGCAATTCAGAAAGACAGAAAGGTCCTGAGGAGGTAGCTCTGTGTGCAGGCTCTGGGTGCCATCCCAAGCCCATACCCAAACAAACAAAAGGCTCAGGGGTGTGGCTGGGGCTGTAGCCTGGCCTGAGGTCAGCTTTCTCTTTGGGGCTCGGGAGGGGGGTTCCCTCCTTGTATTTGGGGAGTGAAAAGAGCATGGGACGCAACTGACTACAGGACCCCGGCTGAAAGGGCTGGGCCACCACATCTGGCTGATCTCCCTGCATTAGCCAGGGTCCTCCAAAGAGCAAGGCAGCCTGATGGTTAGGGTTGGTTCCTTATGAATCCGTGGATGGATCAGACAGGGACCAACAGATAGAAGCTGGGTGAGGTGGGGCAGCCCTGTCATCGCAGCACTCCCGGAGGCTAAGGAAGGAGGATGGCGAGTTTGAACCCAGTCTTACATTAAAAAAAAAAAAAAAAAAAACAAACAAAAACTTAGCCGGGTGTCGTGGCTCATGCCTGTAATCCCAGCACTTGGGAGGCTGAGGCAGGAGGATCACAGGTTCATTGCAAGTTCAAGACCAGCCTGGCTACAAAGTGAGCTCAAGGCCAGCCTCAGCTGCATAGTGAGACCCTGTCTCAAAAACAACAAAAACAGTAACAATAAATAAAAAAAGCAGCAGCAGCTACAAAGGGTTGGAGACATAACTTGGCGCACAGGCCCTGGGTTCAAGCCCTACTGTTGCCATGAAGAGATGGACTGGCGGGCGGATCTGAGCACTCTTCTTGCAGTTTCAGCCTTGGGCTGCAGAGACACGGTGACTCCCAAGGTAAACGATGGCTTAGTCTCCACCTTGTGCCCCTGCGAGCTTGGAGTGAAACCCATCGTCTGCAGGGGAATAGTCCCTTTGCTGGCATGCCCGACCCCTGGGTGCTACCCACCAATTGGTCCCCTAGAAGCCACCTGGGCTGGGCGGTCAGGTGGACGGTCGCAGCATCACCCAAATGTGCGCCCGTTTTGCAGCCCTGGGTCCGATGCTGAGTGGAGATGCCAGACAGGCCCCCAGGTGCTTCCTCCCAGGAGGGAGGCGAGCTCGGTCCATGTCAGGCGGGAAGAGTCCCAGGCTGAGGGTACTAAGGTTGTGGGAAGAACACTTTTGTCCCTGGAACTGCAAGGAAAGACAAAAGACACCTCTGCTGGTTTTGCCTTTGTGATCCAAGCTGCAAGGCTGTGGGCACCGTGTGAAGACTGCATGGAGAAACGAGATGGACATTCAGTCTGTTACACACAAGCCTGGCCAAAAGGGCGTGGTGGGGCTCTCCTGGAATCCCGTGGGGTGCCTGGGACCTCTGCGGTGTGACCAGGCAGGACACAGGCCCCCCAAATATGCAGTGTCAAGCTGGGTGTGGTGCCACATGCTGTGATCACGGCGGCGCTCGGCGCTCGGGAGGATCCCGGTGGTGGGTTTCATGACAAATGTTATTATGTAGCTACACAGAAAAAGCGGGGCTTAAAAAATGAGATAGCTCAGCAGACTAAGCGCTTGCTTAGCAAGTGCAGGGACCAGGTTCATTCAGCGCTGGCCCTGCCCTCGGGGGTGCTGAGCTGACGACGAGTCCTGGCATAGTGGTGCATGCCTGTCACCCCAGCGCTGGGGAAGCTGAAAGCAGGAGGATCACTACGGGTCCAAGCAGCATAGTGAGACCCTATACCAAATACACAAAAAATAAACAGCAAAAGTATGTTGTCTCTAGTGGGGTATAAATATATGTTGTTTACACAACAGTTCCTACTCCCTTCTAAACCCCCAAAAGGACCCCAAACCAGTGACGGTGAATTTATTTTTATTTATTTATTTGCAGAACCAGGGGTTGAACTCAGGCCCTTGCGCTTACCAGGGAAGCACTTATTCCACCGAGCCATCTCCCCGGGCCCAAAGGCAGACCCGGGACTCGAACCTACGACCTCTTGCTGTAGAGCCTAATGCGTAAACTGCTATGCTATCTCTCCGGCTGTGATGGTGAATTTAGAGACAGACCAAATGCCCAGCTTGCTGGTGACATCACTGTCAGCCATGCGCTGCTCCTTTCCGCAGTGTGCAGACCCCGGTACTGCACGCGGTACCTGACCTGGAGAGGCTGGGTTGGTTTTGTCTTTTGGTACCAGGAATCAACCTCCGGACCTAGTATTTGTCAGGCAGATTCTGTGCCACTGAGTGATGTCCCCACCCCGATGTGGGGCTGCTTGGCTCACCTGTGCCAGACAGCGGCTGGACACCACTGCCCTACCCTGTGGGCCTCTCTGGGTGTCCTGCCAGCACTCAGGACCGCTTCTGGCCGGTTAGTGAGACTTCTACTTCCCGCCATTTCTGTTTTTATTATTTATTTGCCCTTTTTTGAGAGAGGGTCTCGCTATACAATTCAGGCTGGGCTTGAGCTCACTTTGTCGTCCATGCTGGTCTCGAACTCGCAACGATCCTCCTGCCCCAGCCTCGAGTGCTGGGGTTACAGGCCTACGCCACTGTGTCCAGCTTGTATCTTTTATTTACTTATTTATTAGGTATCTTTTAAATAAACTGGTTTGTACCCCACCTCCCTGGTCTGCGGTTCCCGTGCTCCCCACTCAGCACTGGTCAGCAGGGCTGAGGGCCGAGGCCGGCAGGCCTACATGTGCGCCTAAGCCGGGGAGGGTGCCGTGCTGAGTTCACAGGGTCCTGTGTTGTGCTCCTTCACCCTCAGTTTACCTCTGGGCCTGGTGACACCCCTTTTGGAGTAACAGAGGTGTCTGCAGAGGGGGACTGAGTGCTGGTCAGGCACACCAGTGTGGACTGGGGGCGGGGCCGACACCCTCACCTCCTTGTCCGCTCCAGGCCCCAGCGTGGTCAGGAGACAGCGAGGGCAGGCTGGCCTGAGGCTGCTCCCCTCTCTTGCTCCACGGGGCTGTTTTGAGGGTACAGCTAGCTTCTCAAGGCCACCACTGACTCCAAGACCCGGGCTCAGGCAGGCATAGTGGCGTGCGCCTGTGACACCCGCGCTTGGAAGGCTGAGGCAGGAGGACTGGCTGCGGTGAGTTTTAGGTCAGCTTGGGCCGTGGAGTACAAGGCCAACCTGAACTGTAGTGTTGAGACCCTGGCTCAAAAAGACAAGATAAAACAAGCAAACCAAAAAAAAAAAAAAAAAAAAAAAGGGGCCGGGGAGATGGCTCAGTAGGATAAACGCTTGACTGGCAAACGCAAGGATCTGAGTTCAATCCCCGGTTCCGCAAAAAAAAAAAGCAAACCGAGATCTTGGCTGTTGTCCTAGCCCAGTGGCCTTGCCCCCTCTGGCAGGTAAGGAGACCTCTAAGCTGCACCCAGTGCCTGTCACCATTGAGGACCCCACAGGGTTGCTGCTTGGAGGGGCGGAAGCAGCCGCAAGGGCAGGGTCACACCAACTTCCTGACCTGGAAGCAGGCCCCCTTCCTACAACCGTCCAGTGAAAGTCCTCTTTAGACAGAGCTGGATGATTTTCCTTCCAGGTGTTATGGATCCAACACCACAGGCAGAGGCTGTCTAGAGTCCCAGTCCATCCTGCTCCGCCTAAGGCAGTGCCTGAAAGATCGGGCCCCAAACTGGCTGTTGGTGTCACTCAGGTGGCAAGGACAGATCAGGGCTCTCCTGTCACGAACCAATGGGACGCAGGGTGAGCAGTGAGGGTCTGGCCTAGTGCTCGGCACAGTCCTTTCCAGTAGCATGGGCAGGCAGGGCTGCGGAGAAAGGGCCAAACCAACTGGCGCCCCATGGCGTGCGTGCAACTGTCGCTAGAGGGGAGGCCCCGGAGAGAGAGGGACCTCAGCTCGCCTCTCCTCCCAGAGTTTGTTCATTTTCTCCGCCGAGAAGTATTTCAGGAC